TCACTGATATCGTGCTTTACACTAAATTACAGAATCTAGATTCTAATATCATTAGAAGCATGCAGGTTCATGAGTGGAAGCAAGTTGTTATTAAAGAACTCATGGCGCGTGAGGAAAATGGTGCATGGAAACTTGTAGATCAACCTTCCAGGAAAAAACACTTTGGGATGCAAGTTGATCTTCACTGTTAAACACAATGCAGACGACACCATATATAAATACAAGGCTTGTTTGGTTGCTAAGTGATTTACTCAATCCTGTGACATTGACTTTCGGAGACTTTGCACCTATTGCAAAACTTGATACCATTTGAGTTCAAATGGTGTCATTAGTTAGATATCAAAAATGTCTTTGTCAATGGAGACTTAAAAGAGGAAGTGCTCATGGAGATCCTTGAAGGTCTCATAGATTAGACTAACTCAAACAAGGTTTGCAAGCTAAAACAATTCCCTCTATGGTCTTAAGCAGTCAGTCAGAGCTTAGTTTGACAGATTCTTTAAGGTAATAAGAAACTTAAATATTTTCAGTCAGATCATACCTTATTTGTTAATTATTTTTCTAGTGGAAGAATATCTATCATAATTGTCTATATGTATATGATCTTATATTGACAGAAAATTTTGAAGAGGAGATTAGAGAACTTAAGAAAGTTTTACCTCATCAATTCAAAGTCTAAGACTTAGGAAACCTAAACTATTTCTTCGAGATGGATGTTACAAGGTTTCAATAAGGAATTGTGGTTTCACAATGAAAATATATTTTTAATTTACTCAAAGAAACATGGATGTTGGATTGTAAATTTGCAAATACTCCAATAGAAGCAATCACCAAAGAAAATGGAGAAGAAAACAATGCTCTAGTTGACGAAGGAAGATACCAAAGATTAGTCAGGAAACTCATCTCTTTCACACACATATGACTGGATATTGGCTTTGTTGTTTGTGTGGCTAGTCAGTTCATGAATAGTCCCACTGAAACACACATGGATCAGCTATATCATATTCTGACATATTCGAAAAGGAATTCATGAAGAAGGTCTTCACTTCAATAAGACTAAAAACAGGACTATTTTAGCGTTCATTTATGTAGGTTGGGCAGGCTCCACTATTGATCGAAGATTGACAGGATACTGTACTTATATATGGTAAAATTTGATTATCTGGCGAAGCAAAAAGCAGATAGTTGCTGCCAAAGTAGTGAAGAAGCATAGTTCAGAGCTATGGTCCATGGGATATATGAAAGAATGTGATTAAAACACTTATTAACGAACTTAAAGTTCAAATAAGTGATATATCATCAATGATGTATGATAACTAAGCTGTTATAAGTATAACCAAGAATTCTGTTCATCATGACATGATAAAACATATGGAAATAGGTAGACACTTCATCGAGGAGGAGATGAGTGGATAGGTGCTCAATGGAACAATTATAGTGGCACATGACACGATTTCTACTTCCTTCTAAAAAGCGTGATCATACCTATGTTATGATCATCACATAGAAAGCGGTCGAAGTTGAACCGACGAACAAAAGGCAAATTCCAACTTATAAATGCCAGCCCACTCTTTCGTATTCAAGTAATCTCTTACAAAATAATGGGGTATAGTTAACATCTGCTACATTCCAACTAATCAACATGGGGAAAATATTCTAACCAAAGGCAAAATTTCAAAATATAAGATCTAAGCTAAGGTTGTTTAATATTTATAGTCCAGCTTGGGAGAATTTTGAAAACTGAGTAATTATAGCTATACAACTATAATAGAAATATTTACTTCCTATTTTAGAATATTTAAGGTCAAGGTTGGCCAAAATTCTCTCATTTGATTTACTATTTATTCTAAAAATCTTCCTTCTAATTAGGAAGATTCTTTTGTCCAAATGTAGTAACTAGCTTTGTATTACAAATATAATCATTGTATCATTCTAAAAAAAAATAAAAAAGACAGAATTTTCATTCTTACTCTTTTTAAAACTTTCTTTTTTTTTTTAATGTAAAACTTAGTTTTTTTTTTGAATTTTTTTTTTTGCTTGATGTACTTAATATAATTCACTTCATATGTTTATATAACACACTGCCACACACATGTAGGTCTGGATATGTATTTGCAGTTTAAAGTCTTTTGCTTGAACTTCAAAATAGAACTATTTTTTTCATATAATCTTTTCCATTTACAACCCCCAATGGATCCTTAGTAGTTGATGGATGTTGATTTGTTTTGTGGATATTCATTTCCGTGCTTTCCAATCCTTACATGTTAGCTCACTCTTATATGCTACATTGTTGATTTTTGGAGAAAAAATATTAATTTTATTTCTTAGTTTTTAAATTATTACATTTGAGATATTTATATAATTCTTAATATACTAATAAGAAAATTGTTATTATATTAGAATTTTATTTACATGAGATTACTATATTATTAGAATTTTAATTATATTATCATAACTAATTAAATGATAAATTAAAATAATAAAATATGGTAATTAACACTCCCCTTCAAGTTGGTACTGAAATATCACACATGCCCAATTTGCATACCAAGTTTTGAAGAGTCATTCTACAGTTTACTAGTACCAAAGGATATCAAAAAGTGCTGTAAATTGGAACCAAATTTGTCAGGCAACAGCTCAGCTCGGTTCAACTCAAAACAGTCCGAGTTCGGCTAAAAAATAGTTCAAGATAGGTTCAAAAACGGCTTGAGAACGACTCAAAAAGATTTGAACTCGGCTAAAAGATGACTCAAACTCAAGTAAAAAACGGCTTGAACTTGGCTAAAAAACAGCTCAAACGCGGCTCAAAGGGAGAGTGGCTCATGCAGTAGCTCAAATTGGTTCAGCCTGGTCACGACTCAAATCAGATCTACGAGAAGTGAAGCAGATCACGACAGGGGAAGCTCAGATATGCACATAACACGGCACGACCAGAAAGCTTCATGCATGTGGATCTGCACGCAGTGGAAGAAGAAGGCCCGTGACTAGATCCGTGACACCAGAAGGAAAGCATGCGGATCTGCATTAGAAGACTGCACAGAGGCTGCGGAAGAAGGCAGATCGGTGCGCGACCATCTCTGAGCACAATGCATCTGTCTCGAGAAGAAGAACTAGCCACGGCACCCAGATTTGCGCAGAAGTCCCTGCACGAATAGACGAGTTCATGCAGGGGCAACTAGAGCCGACCTTCTTCTTCCACCTCGCAATGTGTATTCCTCGTGCGAGTGGCGCACGTTTGCACTTCCTCCACCATGACCCACCTTTCTGGATTTGGTCTTGGTTCGCTTGAAAATGGAACAAATCCGCCTGCCGAGTCTTTGTTTTCTTATTCCAGGCCGCGCCGACTCAGATCGTCGGTAGCCATGGCTTGAAATGGCACACAAATCTGGTTACGCCAGATATAGATATTCCACCGCGCGATTTCCTCTGCACTGCTGCTGCCTTGGCTTCTCCAAGTCGCGGTCAGCACACGTGTCTGATATGGTTTTTTAAGGTGGTCATGAAAGTAAATATAGATAAGTGGGTACCAACCTAATCTATTGTACTATTTTAAGGTTTGAAGGAAACTCTGAAATTAAAATCATAAAATAACTTTATTTTACTTTGATAGCAGGTTGATTTTTGCGGAAAAAATATTATTTTATTTTTTACTTCTTAAATTATTACACTTGAGATATTTATAGAATTTATAACCGACAAATTAAAAAATTATTATTTTACTAGAATTTTAATTACATGAAATTACTATTGTAATAAAATTTTAATTATATCATCATAACTAACTAATTAATAAATTAAATAATTAAAAAATAAAATATGGTAATCAACACACGTAGCTACTAGAAATGATTGAACGTGGCCGCTCAAGTGTGTGACCCGTTGCTTGGATGAAACATGGCTGCTTGGGACACTTGGCTGGTTGAGACAGATGGCTTGGGTGACACATGGCTGGTTTGCATGAACATGGCATGGTGACACATTGCTTTGGGTGCCACATGGCTGCTGGAATGGAATAAGTATGAAGGTAGTTTTTAGGATATTTGGGGTAAGTGTTGATAGTTATGGGATCTTGGGGTAGTTACTTAGGTGGTATCTAGGATGTAAGGGTAGTTACTTCGAACTAGGGAAGTTAATTTTTTTTAGGTGTAAAAAGAGCATTGTAATTTAAACAGGATATGCCGAAAATTTTGTCAAAAAATTTCTTGAGTTCTCTCTTAACAATCCCATATTGTCAATAAAATCTCATAACTAGATCCTAACAAAGAACCGTAACAATTTGGTATAAGAGCCAGAAGCTATGGGTGATTTAAGTTTGATATTTGAATTCTTTCTCATAATTTACCAAGAAAATTGAGATCAACATTGTATGAAGCTTGGTCTGTTGGCAGATCGTTTGGATGATGGCTCCAAAAAACTTTTGGCCAGTTGAAGTGCGCCATATGATCTGGGAGAAGATAACATCCATCATGGTCGCCAAGAGCATTATGGCGATAGTCTCTATGCTGAAAAAAGGGAGCAGTCTCATTGTAAGTATACAAAACTTGATTTTCCCCATAAGAAATATGATAGGGCTGCTAGGAAGTTTCAAGACCAGAATATTGACCAAGCAGATCGATAACCATACTCTGTTTGGATCCCAAAATAAGAACATGATTCAGGTAATAGTGGTGTGAATCTGGTTCAGACTTCAACAAAAATGTGCACTGTAGACAGAGATGAAGAAAGGAGAGAAGACGGAATATGAGGGAAGTCAAGAGAGCAGAACAACACATAACTTAGATCCCTTGGCAGTGTTATGCATCTCTAATGAGAGCAGACAAGACTGGGTTTGGCAAGAACGTTGCAGCCTGCATCAGATGGTAAATTTTAATTCTTTTCATCCCAATAAGTCAACTCACCTGTTGTCATTTCCTTATGAAAAAAGCAATTATCATGAGCTGAAAAAAGGAACCAGTAAGTGAAGAATTAATTATTGACAAAACAACATGGTTCTCTTCCAGCATTTATTGGCAACTAATTTTCTACGACGATGCAACTGGGTGAACCGGTTTCCAATAATAAATTTTGGATTCCATTAAGTTGGAAATATCCTTGACCTTCCCGCCTCAGACTTCTACAACTGCACATGATTCATGCGGCCAATACTAATTTGCTTTCAAACTACAAGGATCTGGAACTGGAGGAAAAAATTATTGATTAAAAAAGTAAAGGATTATATTCGAGAAAAATAGAAGAAAAAAAGGGAGAGAAAGGATTGGCTGCTTGAGGACAAGCACCTTATTGAGGGAGGGTGTATTGTTATGTGCCACATGGCTACTAGAAATGATTGACACATGGCTGCTATAGTGGGTGACACGACTTAGGTGACATGTGGCTGCTAGAGTGGAATAAGTATGAAGGTAGTTTTAAGGATATTTGGGATATGTGTTGGTAGTTTGTGGGATGTGGGGATAGTTGTTTAGATGGTTTATAGGATGTTGGGTTAGTTACTTCCTATTAGGGAAGTTACTATTCTTAGAAGTTTTTTTTTTTTTAAATTTTATGTTATTTATTTTTTTACTCTCTTTTTGTATAAGAAGAGCATTGTAATCTGGACTGGATATGCAAAAAAATATGTCAAAAAAATTTCTTGAGTACTTTAAACTCTAAGAAATCGTTTATTTCTCTCTTAGAGAGCCCATACTATTTACAAAATTTCATAACTAGATCCTAAGAAAGGACTGTAAAACTCACTCTTTCCAAGTATTTTCAAAGTGAAACACTGCGGACTCAATATTTTGGTGGTAAAGCATGTTAATAGATGGACCCAGTGTCAACCATGCTTCTAAGTTTAAGCAACTGATTTTAGATTTTTTTAAAAAACAAGAGATCAAAGGTTTTTAAAGATTGTTAACAAAATTATACTCTGGTTATTTCAAAGCTTATGATATATTTATGTACGCGCGCGCGCGTGTGTGTATATCAACTTTTACTTTCGGGAGATTTACCAATCAGTTTCATGTCCAATTCATGAGGTTCATGCCTTTAATTCATATGAAACTGAAATTTAGGCAATGAGGGAATTTGCATTCACAGTGCAATTATTAATTTTTTTGTTCAGATAGTAGAAGAAGCTGGTGGCACAGTTACTCAAATGGACGGTGGAAAATTTTGTGTATTTGATAGATCTGTTTTGGTGTCAAATGGTGCTCTGCATGCCAAGGTTTGACTCTGGTCTATAATTTTCTGAAAATTGATATGAGTATTGTACTTCTTTTGTCATTTCTTTAGCTATTTAGCGCTAACATCAGGTTAAATGTTATAACATTTATAATGAGTTTGCAGCATCATAAACAATCAAAACTATGTACTTTTGCCTCAAAATGTAGTTTTGGAAATTGCAGCTTTTGGAGCGAATCGGGCCTGCAACAGAGAAACTGAAAAATGAAGGAATTGATTTCTCATTATGGTATAAGCCAGAAAATTATCGCACAGACTTTTAGTGTGTCCAAGAGTTCTTTTTCTACTCTTAAGTTCTCCACAGCAAGCAGGTGCTGTCTACTCCTCTTGCAAAGGTGTTTGCCTTTCTTTTAATTTTTTATTCATCCAAATGAACCAAGTCATGCATATAGAAATTTCTTGCTTTCTTAACATAAAGGGAAGTAGACAATCTTCATCTGTGTTAAGTAATTCACAGTATAGTTGCAAATAATGAGTTCTGTTCTTTCCTTTCATTTCTCACTTGCAGTCAACAAATTCATAAATGGAAATGACTCTGGTTTCTCTGCCATCTGACCAACTGCAATGTAATTGATTTTAAAGAGTGTAAATGGTAGTTGTGCAATTTTATAGCAAGGAGAAACAGCTGATGTTTGAACAGAAATTCAAGAAAACAGGCCAAACATGATTTTACAGCACCATTTGTTTGGGCTTATCTACTCTGCGTCTGAATCAGTTAAGCGTAATCCCAAACAAACACATGGTGCACTGTTCTCATTAGCTGGTTGTCAATCTGTAATGGTTATTACATATTATTGCTATTCTCGTTACATGGGCTGTGCTGATTGTCTTTAGAGATTTTAGTCCTTGGGGCGGATTGCAATACCCTTTATCACGAGTCCTCTCTTCCATTTCCCTCCTTCATGTTCATACATGGAAAATGTTATGTTCCCAACATTTTGCGTTGAAGTTGTGAACTCACCTATTGGTATCTCTATCCACTGACAACGTGGTTTGGTCATCAAGCTTTCTCTGCAGTTAAACTTGCTTCCATCTGGAAGACTTAGGCTTAGGTTTACTGGAATTTCCCATCCATATGCTGCTGTGGCATCTTTCAACATAATCACAAACACGACTTCATATAAAGTTGCTGGTGACAACTTTTCTATCTCAAACTTTCCACAAACTTCTAGCCAACATACATTCAGCAGTTCTGCAACCTCAATAACCTCATCACTGCAAAATTCTAAGCTTACTATTAGGATATTTTTGATAGTTAGATGATATGGTATGAACTTAAACAATATGAAACTTATCTGGAACTCACAAATCCAGAATGAAATGAATGAAACATAACTAATTCAAAGAAAATCTATTATCAGAACTGAAACAATTGAAAACAAGAAATCAAAATTGTTTTGTTGTACGTTGTTGTGTCTTTAAGATTTTGCCAATGCCAGAAACGAGCATCCTCAGCCCAAGTGATTGCCAGACCTCTTGAGAGCACCATGAAGCAGTTCTTGTTGGACTTCTTATCTACCCAGTACCTCTGTAAAACGCATTTCCAAAAACCAAGACCATGATAACAGAGATATCAGTTTTTGTAAAAATTTATGTTATTCTATGTATAAGATATATACTGATTCTAGATTTATAATCTATCCTGCCTTTCGCTTCTGGTTCAAGAAAACTCCAGCGTGGAGCTGATCATACAGCTTCTTCACAGAGGATCGGTCAATATCTGAATCTGAGTTTTTAATGATGCCCTCGAAGCTGTGTGGAAGATTTTTTTCTACTGTCTTCTCCTCTACCTTGGCTTCAGTGTCATAATTCTGTGACTCGACATGAATTTGTAAGACTCTACCTCTTGGTTCGAACTCTGGAGCTTCACCCTGTGACCAGTTAGTTCCCATCTCTTCATGTCAGCAACCTATGGAGGTTTAGCTATTTTTTTTCATCGATCAGAAATCTCTTTCAAGTAGGGGTTGGAACAATTTTAAGATAAGTTAGTATTGTAGTTAAGTTGGGATAACTTATGTCAAAATTGATAATTGTATCAAGAGGTTCTGTTTCTTGTTCAGCATATTCCTTGTCAACTAGATAGCTTCAATTGATTAAAAGAAAAAGTGATGCATATGGTGTGTTCATTAATCTAAAGACTGGCTATGGACCATCATAAAATGAAAGGGTATAAAGTTAAGTGGAGGCAAATGCTCAAGAGAAGAAAATTTGATTCCTTTGAGCCAAAGCAAAAGAGACGAGATTCGTTTTAGAATTTAGGATCATTGCTTTATTGCCATTTGCCAGATCCTGATCAGGTAAACTCAATTCATTATCTTTTCTGTTTTTTGTTTTGTTTTGGTTTTATAAGATGCCTTTCAACTCACTAGATTACGGAGGGAATATTATCATTAATCTTTTCGATACAGTTGTGAATGCTACTTTGTTATGAATTGCAATGCATGCATTACTATTAAATTAACTAGGATGTTCAAATTATAATTAACATGTCCATGCATTTGGATGGTTGCTAATAGTCATTTAAGTGGATGCTTGTGAAGCTGGGAACAACGATCCTCCTTAAAACCTGGTGTAGACTGGTTAGAGTATGTTATTGTATGTAGTTAGGGTAAATGCAGTGTTGTGATTATTTTCCTAGCTTAATCACAGAATCATGCTAATTATAAAATTTGGGTGATTACTGCTGATTGATGACCATTCACCTTCTTAATTTCCTTGTCATTGATTATCAGGAAGCATTTGTACTAGTTGCCTGTTTGATCTTTGTTCATAGTTTGTTAGCAGTAGTGCAGTGAAGTAGAGTTTCTTTCATATCGATGTAAATAATACCTTTCTAAATGGTAATTTATCTGAAAGGGTTACCTAAATCCTCCGTCAGGATACTGTTACTCTAATAATAATGTCTGTCATCTGGTCTAGATCATTATAATAGATAGAATTGATTTTACATGAATTGTTGAACCGAAAAATTAGAATTTAAGATAAATGGTCATTCTCTACATATTTTCTTGTTGTGGAAGTTATCTCTAATGACTGATTGTTAATCCATTTAGAAGAATTATGCAAAGTTATTTTTAGTTATGGTTAAACATATGAATTTAATTATAATTTACATGTTTGATATAGAATTGAGCTAATATTATTCACATTTTCAATCCTCTAATGATCTATTTATAATCTTATATATGAAGGAGAATTATAAAAACACTTCATTTGATTTAAACATTGGAATGAATATAAAATTATAATATTAAAATATTTATCTCATTTGTATTAAGAATATATGATTTATAAAACAATAGATGAAGTCATATATTTAATTATTAATGACTAATTTAGATTTGATTTAAGAGAGTTGTTCAACAATTGCTTCATGAATTTGTAAGCCAGTTTTCTGTTTTTGGGACCAGACTTCATACAATCCAAAGTAGAGAATTGGATTATGAGAGGAGTGAGGAACAGTGATG